GATTTTATCAAAATTTGAATTTATTATGTTTCATAAATTTTTAAACGTATATTACAATCCGTATACATGCATTCATTGATAAGAAAGTCCTCGAGTTCACGAACATTGGTGACATCTAACTTAACCATAAGTGTATCATAGGGCAATACCTATCATTAACAAGCAGTGAGTGGTAAAGAAAGGGAAACACAGAGAAGGCTAGGTATAATCACATCCAAATTATTGCTGATTTAGGACAAAGTATCAAACTGGTCACATGKCAACCAATAAAAAAAGAGTCATACCTTGTTTGATTCAGTAAGGGTAAGCACAGTTAGCTGCTTTATCTTGAGAATCAGGGACCAACTGAGGCTAGCATTGCCTAGAGTTTCAATGAAAACTATTTAGAAGAGGAATAGGAGACACGTTGTTCATAAATAATATAAGAAAACGTGACAGGTATATGAACAACTTTGATATGGTCATCATCATTCTCAACAACAACAAAACACAAATTGGACATCTTACAACACATCAATGAGCTCATTATACTTGCATAGATCATAAGAATTGACAAGAAACTAATGATCATTGATTGAAAAATTCAAGTATCAAGAAGGTGGAATCACTTTCTTCCTAAGTACCTGTTTAGGAGGAGAAGCGGATTTACCATAATCACCACGAGCACAACTCTCCATGAACTGCAAAGTTACTTTACCTCCCAAGGAACGAAAAAATCCATTGAAATCATCATATTCTGAAAATCGTCTTTTCCTCCTAGCTCATTGAACCCAACCTATCAATAAACATTGAAAATCCATTGAAAATCAACATATTCTATAAAAAAGATAACCAAGATTGAGTTTGTTTATTTACCACATAATCATCGACTTTAGTGTTCTTTATGAGGGCAAGAGTTGGAAGAACAACAATCTTGKYTCTCTCAGCTAAAAATGGARTTTTCTCAGCTTGGATCTTCACAAAACYTGTCTCAATATGTTGRTTTGCCAATATACTCATGTGCTTATCCATCACCTGCAAAACAAAACAAACATTTCTGGTTTTATAGTAAGCTAATGAACAAGAAAGCACCACTTTTGGAGAAACAAATTTCTTTCCTTAACATCTCTTATCAAAAGATCACACATAAACTTAAAAACCCAACAACACAAGCAAATCAAACCCAAAAGGAGATAACTTTGGCTAAAACCCAGCAAAATCTTC